AAAGATAGAAATGTTGAAAGCAGGTAGGGGTATAGTTTTAGAGTTGTTGGTGCTATTATTTAATAAATGTATGGAAGAGGGTAAGGTACCTAGGGATTGGCAAAGAGCATGCATAGTTCCTATGTATAAAGGAAATGGGGGACAAAAGAGAGTGCAAAAATTATAGGGGATAATTCTGTTGAGTATGACCTGGTAAAGTGCAATGGGTAGAGTTATTATGAAAGAATAAAGAGTAAGAACCCAGAGAATAGGATAGCAGATGAACAAGGAGGATTAGGAAAGGTAGGGGTGTGTGGATCAGGTGTTTACAGTGAAACACATAAGTGAACAGTATTTTAGATAAGGCTAAAGATGTTTCGTGGCTTTTATGGATTTGAAAAGGCGTATGACAGGGCGGATAGGGGGGCAATGTGGCAGATGTATGCAGGTGTATGGTGTAGAGGTAGGTTACTGAAAGCAGTGAAGAGTTTTTAACGAGGATAGTGAGGCTCAATTTAGAGTAGTAGGAAAGAGGGAAATTATTTCCCAGTAAAATAGGCCTTAGACAAGGATGTGTGAATGTCACCGTGGGTTGTTTAATATATTTATAGATGGGGTTGTAAGAAAGTAAATGCAGGGTCCTTCTCAAAGGCGTGGAGTTAAAAGATGAAGAATCACAATAAAGTGGGAGTTTGTCACAGCTGCTCTTTGCTGATACACGTGTCTACTTGGAAGATTCTGAAGAGAAGTTGCAGAGATTGGTGCATGAATTTGGTAGGGTGTGCAAATGGAAGAAAATTAAAAGTGAATACAGGAAAGAGTAAGGTTTATAGGATAACAAGAAAATAGGTGATGAAAGATTTGATATCAGATTAGGAGGGAGAGAGTATGGAAGGAAAGTGAATGAATTCAGGATATTTTGGAGTGGAAGTGTCAAGCGGTGGGTCTATGAAAGATTAGTGAATGTTGAGGAGAAAATGGTGAGTGGTGCACTTAGGAGTCTGTGGAGAACAAAGAACCCCCCTTTTTGTCCTGGAGGCAAAGAGGGGAATGATGAAGAAAAGTTTTTTACCAACGCTCTTATATGGGTTTAAGCATATGGGTGATGAATGTTGCTGCGAGGAGAAGGCTGGAGGCAGTGGAGATGTCCATGTCTGGGGCAATGTGTGTTGTGAATATAATGCAGAGAATTCGTAGT